CCAAACTATTTTGCAATTAAATGTGTGTCGCGGGCCGCGTGAAACCAAGCCGTGGGCCTTTGTTTAGACAGCCCTGGTGTAAAGTATTACTAGGTAGGCAGTCATGAGTCCCGATTCGGAGTCGCGGAGAACCTAACGGGTAACCGGGGCTCCGGCTCGACGTGCAGGAGAAGGAACGGGGTGGTTTTTAGTCAGTAAGAGTCTGACACTCCCTCCCGCCTCACCCAGGCGGGGGCAGTCATTCGATGATTTTCCCCCCTTAAAAAAAAAAAGGCAGTCATGAGTCATGTAAAAGTACATGTAAAAAGTAGATAAACCTATTGGCCTCGCATGACCGCAGTACTGCCAGGCTCCAGCTGAGACTAAAATGTAATTGTTTGGTGCAGGGTGACGGCAAGATGGGCCCGCCGCCGGCAGTGCCCGGGCCGCACATGCCGCCTCCGCCGCCGGGTATGTATCTCGTCCTTTGTTGTTTCAATATTGAACGAAAGATCACAAAGAACATTGGTATGCGCAGGCATGCTGGGGCTGTGGCGCGGCGCGTACAACCCGCCGCCGTGGGGCGCGCCGCCGCCGCCCGCCTTCCTGGCGCCGCCGCCGCCGCCGCCGCCCGCCTCGCAGGACTAGCTCATACTGTTTACCACGATTAAATGAAATTATCGAATGCCATCGTTTCTCTTACCCTGTACTTACAGCTCGTAAACTTTTACTTGGCCTGTTGCCATTAGACTTGAAGCGTGAACTATAAAAGTACTGTTACGCGTGCTCAAGCATAATATTCTATTGCATATAAGCATTCTATTAAGACAAGACTGCCAATAAAAAAACTGTTGAAAGTGAATTCTCCCTCCTCCGCTGACGCCGGTCGCCGGTGACCCCCGTGGCGTTTAACGTGCTAATGCATGTTTTCAGCACGCTCAGACTCCTTTCAAAGACGACTAAGTTAAAAAGTTCTATGGAGATTGGCATTGACAACTAAACTCATTCGTATTATTTAAGTAGTCAGTATAAAATATAAATATCTGTAGTGAGACTTTGAAGATATGGAAATCCTAAATATTTTATGTTAAAATGATCAAAAATATATTTTTGAAACCATTTATCTTATGTATGTTTTTTTATATTAATATATGTTACTGGCGTGTGTTACTTCGACGTGAATGCAGATCTTCTCAACAAACTTGACTGACTTTTAAATAACTGCATTCGATTCGTGTTCAATCTGCGTAAATATGATCAACTGTCTGCACATCGGTTGCAATTAAAGTGGTTGTCCATACGCCAACGCAGGGAACCACTCTGTTCTCCTTTTTAGACTCTCCTTCTTCCCCGAATTATCTATCCCCTTACTTCCAATACATATGCGCAAACCACAATAAAAATCTTCGCGTTTCTCATACTCCTTCTCTCTCTTCCTTCCTTTTTCGTACAAGCTGTATCATTGCTGAGTAAAGGCCTCTTTTCAGTCGGAGAATGTACGAGCATTATTCACCACATTTGCTCAAGGCTCAATCGGATTTCAAACTTTTAATTGGAGATTATAAGCTTAGATTTTCTCACGATTTTTTCTTTCACCGTACGTCACTGGGTTCTGCATAATCTTTGAAAGTACGTGTAACTAAGGAAAAGGCACTTTGGCACAGGAGAGTGAGGGTTCGAAACTTGAGACGCCCGCTTCTTATGGCACAGGAAGTGGGCGTCTTAAACCTCCAGGCCAGTACGACACGGGACCCCACTCGTCTACCCCTAATGCCGCCGTTCCGAAGGGGCCTACCTAGCTTATCATATTATTGTAACTTATATAATTTCTGTCAAAAAGGTACATATCAACCGGAAGGTACCGGAATGAATGAGTCACAATAATTATTTCTTTATTGTTACGTGTTGCTTTTCTACCCTCAAAAAAGCGTACATGCGCTTCTGATAACTGACCTGACTGCCATCACATCACCTGTTGTCGTTTTCATTAAACTGCAATACTGTCGTCAGGTCTGCCACTCATCATCATCATATCAGCCACAGGACGTCCACTACTGAACATTGGCCTCCCCCAATAACTTCCAGATAGGCCGGTTGGAAGCGACCTGCATTCAGTGGCTTCCCTGCGACCTTGATCAGGGGCCTTACTCTTGAATCCAATTCCGATCGATCGACATTGGTATTGTAAAATTTCGTACCCTTGAGTTGCAACACTAGCGCCCATTGCATCCGTATTGCGTGGATATTGAATGAACTAAATGGTATTGAGTTTATGACGCGTACTCTGAATGCTATTTTACAGCTATGATTGGGGTTGTATAGATTGACATAGAATTATTATTTCCTTTATTTATTTCTATACTTGATTTATATATTTTTAAATATTTGATTACATATATATAAAAAATAATTATTAAGATGTTATTGGATTGAAATTGCATTGGTGCGGTGAATCCGCAAGGGCGCCCCGGGTCACGGCCACAGGCAGAGGAGGAACACCGCGGTGGTTTTAGCCGGTAAGAGTCCGGCACACCCCCCGTCGTCCCCACGGTGTGGAAGGTCCATGAGGATTTCCATCGCGTTATAAAAAAAAAAATGAAATTGCATTGACATTGAGATTGGTTTCAAGAGTAAAAATCCAGGTCTGCCACTCAAATGGCCATAAATCACACGATCTACAGGTGGCGTCCAGGCCCCCTAAGTGAAACGTACCCGCTGCATCCACCAACTTTGGTGCTAGCAGCTGAGAATAGATTCCGAAGCCCCGCCGGCTGTTGAGCAATCAATTTCGGTTCTTCATGGACTGGACCGCTATTTATGAGTCCGACTTTAGTCGCCATCAAGTTTTTATGAGGGAGCTCATTCAGCTTTGCCGCTGCGGGCATTCGCTTAGTCAGACAGGTGTCGAGATTTCGTTTATCAGGTAAATAATAAGTTGAGTATCAATTAAAAAAACATTATTTCCGATTGACGTAAATACAAGCTCAGAATTAATTAAAATGTAGTGTAATAATGGTGTCATATTAGTCTACCCTGTACGAGCACTGCGCCGATCATTCATGTTCTCTGAGACATTAGCCGTGTCGCATAGCGAGCAGTCAGAGGCCATGAGAAGTACCATTTTTCTATAATCATAATAATAAAACAACACAAATTATAAAAACTTTCGTTTTATTCGGAAATTGTCTAATTTATACATTACACTTGTCAGTCGCAATAGATTGATGTGAACACGAAATGAAATTATTAAATGCACAAAATATATCTAACTCTTATTTCATACTACTGGAGATTAAAATAGCATTCATTAATGATAAATGTTAGAGTCGCGTGCACGAAAACAAGATTCAATCTAATAAAATTAAATATTGCAGCAGTGTTGTCACTGAAACGAATAAATAACTTACGATACCGCACAGCAGTTTGCGGCTATACAACCATACATCCGACAGTCCGCACCCAGCGACCTGACATTACTGGGGCCAAATGTAAGCGTCGTGATGTGTCGTTATATGTGTAGCAAACATTTTACAAAGTGTTTCCTTAATATACCATCATTATACTTCATGTATCAAAACTAAAGTACAAAGTTTAATTGTATCTAAATATAAACCTTATTGTATAGGAAGGCCGTATCTGTGTACCTACCGTAGCCAGGCCAGTCCCGACCGAGGCCCACCGGCCAGTAAACGGTCCGAGTCTCATATCACAAACAGTTCCCTAGCACTCTAGCAGCACGCCGCGGCGCCGACGTGACAACGAAACAAAGTGTTTACTATACAGAATTAGCAAATAATCATAATCGTCGATAATGCGACTTTAGCTTCGATCGAGGAAGCAGTCAACACTGCGGCCGACCAGTACCCGCCCCCGCCGCCGCCGCGCCCCTGTCCGCGCCCCTCATCGCGCCTCCTTGGCAGTGAGTTTCTCGATCAGTTCCTGCAGCGGCGCCAGCTCACGTCGCTCGATCAGGTTGAACTCCTGCAAAATATAAACAATATCGATGTCATTTCAAAGATCTCAGTCGATGTCACATTTATGATTATTTTGTTAATATTTTCTATATTCATAGACAATGAAGTGAAAACACATAGTATTTAAAAAATAAATAGTAACAATTTGTGTGATAATCGGACAAGTTTCCAGACAACTCTCCAAATTATCAGCTTATGATTACCTACTTTAGTTTCTCGAAAGGTTCTTTCTTTGAACGCATGCTTTACGCGAGAAAAATTATAACTAAAAATCGTGGCTTACCCACGTGAATATACTGAGAAAAGCTCTACTAGTTTCGAACCATAGAGGGGTTCTTCCTCATGAGCAGCGTGCGATGTCGCGCAGCCTACTCGTGTGAGTAACTCGCGATTTTTAGTTAATTTAGTATGTTTCACGAATTCACGATAGTTATAATACGAAAAATGTTATTTATTTTGACTTTTGTACTTACTGGGAAGTTTTTAGATTTGGGTAACGCCCGTTGGGGACCCTCTTATTCCGCGGGCCCCGTATAATTGATACGGCAGATACGGCGCTAGCTATGCCTCTGATACGTTTGTTAACTAACCCTTGAAACTTCGAGTCCAGTAACAAAAAAGTACTTAACGAATCCAAGTTGAATATAGAGGCCTTAGTAACAAGTTTGTTTTACGTTGAAAGTAGTCAAAACGAGTACGTGTTCGGCGCTCTGCTTGGCCGGCTCCAATGAACTAACCAATCGGAGCGCCGAAGCCAGTCTTGTTTCGATTACCTTTTACGTGAAACAAACTCGTCCTAAGGCCCCTGATTATATAAATAGTACCTGCACGAAGAAGATGAAGTGTTTGAAGGAGGTATTGAGGTGCGCCTCCTCCCCGAGCTGTACTACCTCGGGGAAGTGTTGGTGGTAGATGTGCGCGTACACGCGGAACAGACGCTTCAGGATCGTCTTCGCCATCGGCAGGAAGTTCTTGGGGAAGGGCACGCCTGCAACAGTCCGTGACTACACTACACGCCGGCTACGCCATTATATGATTGCAATGGAATTACGGCAGGTACCTATTTTAGAGGGGAATAGAGTTTCGTCGTCGAGCTGGTCTTGCGCCCACGTCATGAGATAGTCGATGTACTTGGGCGCGGAGCATTTGATAGGCTTCTTGACGGTGTGCCCGTCTGCCCAGTGGTACTCGTACTTGGGCCCCGCCGACATCACGGCGCACGACTCCTCCGTGCAGAACTCTGTGATGGTGCCGTACAGCATGTTGATCTGGTTGAAGAAGTCCACGGCTGCCAACACACAAACACCAATAAGTAGGAGTAACAGCAGTAACAGAGCCGAGGAGAAGCGTGAACAGTCTTGATGTTCGGGGTCTGGAATAATCTGGTGACTGGCGTTGTCTAGCAAGCACTTGTAACACTACGGCGTCAGTCGGTCGAAACGTGCAACATGGCAAAAAGAGTTTGGAATATTTGAGGTCGCTAGTAGTAGTAGTAGTAGTAGTAGAGCTACGACTCAATCGGTTTAGATATTTGTTATTTTCATCGAGTTCAAAAAAACTGCGTTATGGCGCCGACTTCTACACTGATAGGTTAGAAGTCGGCGCCGTAACGCAGTTTTTTAACAATAACGCAGAACGGGTAACCTGTTACTTCTAATAATAGTTATTTTTTATTAATTTAGACTGTTTCAAAATATTCGTCAGTACCTAATGCGTCTATTACGTTTTTCAATAAGATTTTTAAATACATCAATTTGATTCTGGGTCTGGAGTCGACCTGATGATGGAGCCGACATACAGTGGAGAGAACTCCTCAACAGTTAATATTAACTACCTTGTGTTTGGGCTTGATTAATTTGTATTGATGACAACTTTACACCTAGATGGAGTGGGACTACCATTAAATCTGGAATATTAAAAGAAAATTCAGTAATATTTTGCCCGACCCGAGACCCCTTGCCCGGCTGTCGTACTTGCGACCACTCGGCCATCGAGGCAATCCTACCTCCTCCTTTTTTTGAAGTCGGTAAAAAGAGGAGATACTATGTACTGATGATTGTTTCTTCATAGGATGTGGGTGATTCAGTCTAAGCCAATATTAGTTGCAGCTGTCACCGGGTCGAACCCCTTTTTGCCAAGCCGTACGCGACATGGCGCGTCCACATTCAATCATTGCAGTTGAAATAGTTGAGTTCGTTACATGAGGAATAATATGACAGGCGATGTGTATATTATATTTTATTTACATATCATATTATTATTGTATTGTTTAATCAGGCAGGCAGTGGAGACAGCTGATATATACCTATGCGTGTAACATACAAGCGATTATTTTAGAGAAACCTACGCGAATTGAGCATTATTGCGAATATAAAATTATAATTCAAATCACATTTTACTAGTGTGACAAATAATTGTATGATTTATTTTAATGAATATTTTCCGCGTACGGACGGGAAACTACAACAGGAAGTTCGTTCGACTGTGAGCTAGCAGCGCACTAGGGACTTATTTGTTATCTGATGATTATCATAGAGACATTATATAAATATAATATATTTATAATAAGCCCTGCGGTCTTATTATTGCGAGTGCTCCAGGGAGAAGTCACCGTTCCTTATTCTACGGCTTGCCTTAATCGGCTGGCTAAAGTGAACGATGACAAGGAACAGGTCTCCCACCTCTGGCTTGCCTTCATTGGCCGTCCAGAATGGAGTGGCGAGAGCAGTGATCCTGCTCGGACGGTAAGAAACTATTCATAAGTCACTAACTATTCGTAAGATGATCTGGGCCTCTAGTACAAACGCCACTTTAGCGCTTGTCTACAGAGAGAGTAGAAATCAAAATGTATGGGGATGACACTGACAAGTGTCAAAAGTTACGTCAATTCCATATAATTTGGTTTTCTATTCTACATGTAGACAAGCGCTAAATGGCATTTGGCTACAGCTGTTGAATAGAAAGCAGTGGTAGGTTCTTAAACCTTCAGCCACTCACATTCTCGTTGTCCCTCTGTTGCTATATCTAGCAACCATTCCCGGGGCCCGGTCGGTGAGTTGGCGAATCTACGCCTGCCATTTTTACGTGTAATGGTAGATCCCCACCGCCCGGGGCGGCAGGCATCGGCGATGCTGCCGGTAGCAGCCCGGGGCAACAGTTTGATCACGGCTTTCGATAAAAAGTGGTATCGTTTCATATGCGTTGTGTGATATAGTGTATAAAATGTCTGATTTCCATGACTTTCTGATATGAACACTCTTGAGGCATTCTGGGAACATCACGCCTATTTCGTAGACTTGGTCTCATCCAAAATCTTCTTTTGATACAGAATGTAGGTTAAATTTGCGACAGCATTGCATTAATATCGCCCATTTTTGTCACCAGTACCTATCTGCTTTACGCTTCTTACTTCACCGGAAGTCACAAGACAACTGACAATATAGATTCACAGCCGTGCTTGCCGGTGGCTTTGCAGTTTGCTTGTCGTCAACCCGCCGGCAGAGCCGCCGGCCGGGCTGTGTGGATCCACCATAATAATTACATTGTTTCGGCAGGTGCCATAGTCATCCATAGTTTCCAATTTATTTAATAAACGGTCCACAGCAACCCATCCATAGTTCTCTTCACCACCTTTTTGTTCCTTAATCCACAATAGTTCTACACTAAACGGGGACTGTCCTTGGGTGCATTTCCATAGTGCATACAGGGATAGTCCATTTGTATGTCCATAGTTTTGTGTCCATTACAATTGGGTTAAAATTGTCTAAAGGGGCTCTGCGCTGCTCGCAGTTGGCTTCGGGCCCACGTACGCCTCCCAAATGACCGGGACTCTGTGGTCCCGTGAATGGTAAAGACATACATAATAATAATCGAGTCTGACACTTCCTCCCGCCTCACCCAGGCGGGAGAAGTCATTCGATGATTTTCCACCCATAAAAAAATAAATAATAATAATCTTTATTGTACACCTTGAAGCAATATAAACATAAATGTACATACAAGAACAGTAGGCACAAAACCTTATCGCTAAAAGCGATCTCTACCACGCAACTTTTGCGTGAATGGAGCACTGAATGACAGTGGAGGTGGTTCTAGGCAGTATGCAAGTATGGTATGGCAGGTATGTGATGTAAGTATAGGTACTTACATCACATACCTATACATACACGTATGTGTATACATACATACATTCATATACACATTTATACGCACATAAAAAACATTAACAGCCCCTGGTGGTCCACTGCTGGAGTATGGGCCTCCTTTACATCAAACATAGCCAATAATCTCCACTCAATTTATTATTTTGTTTTACCGCTTACTCACATAATCATTTGGCGGGGAACTCGACTAGTTTCAAGAGATGTATAAGCATTCTGCTGCCCAGTTACAATATATTGTGTAAGTATGTGGAGGACAACAAATATATTCTACTCTGGTGTCAAGAGCATTGTTTGTTGATTGGGTATAATTATTCATATTGGATACCTTCTACATATGATACCGCAGGCCAAACAATGGATGTATCCGTTTTCACCCATACTGAATTACTGACAGATTGCCTATATGTATGTATTATAATAAAAAAAATTACATCTATTTAAAAATATTTTTTTTTTGTTCAACGGTTTTAACTCGTCGAGTACCGGTTTTGTAGACACAATTATAGAACAATAGGTTGCGGTCACCGGTGACCGCTTGGTGTTTGACAGTTTAATGAGCTCATCAAATTCTGTCCTGGAGTTCTCTCGATATTAACATGTTTTTGTTAGGTTGAATTGTACGTTTCTTACATGTATGGGCAATGTTAATGTAATAACACTGGCTGTATGACCCAATGTACACTTGAGACGAATACGCAACTTCAGCAGTTACACTGATTATATTCATTACGCTTCTAAAAAGCTGACTGACCTATCACTTACAGACTATAGTCATTCATAAACAAGCACAGCGGAGTTATTATAACGTCCAAAAGTCAGAATGGTTCCATTGAAGGAGAGAAACAGCGCTATACAAGTCATCTAGCAAGATCTTATTCCCTCAACGGAGCCACTCTGGCTTTAAGACATCATAATATGCCACCAGTATTGATTTAATATCAACATATATCATACCGAAAATCCCTGATTTTTGTTCATACAAAAGTAGTAGTGTCTAAGCATCGGAAATAAGGTATAAAGGAAGAGCAGTCACCGGTAACCGCATGGGGATTTAACACTTAATAGATCATAATGAAAGAATGGGGTTCTAACCCTGGCATGGGGTTAAAAACCAATAATTTATTGCCATTTAATATTATGTAAGTACATTGTTCCATCAAGCAGTACTATTATTTTATGTTATAAGTACTTTATGAGAATAACACCAAAAGAATACTATGAGATTTTACTAAAATGTACATATTGGTAAGTTCCATTTCACTATAGCATTCTTTGTTCATCCATGAATACAAGAAAAATCATACAAGAATACAATTACCAAAGAGGCGTCTAGGATTTTAATTAGCTAAAAATGGTGTCATTTTAGTGTGCCATACTTACTGTTGACGGCAACCCACTCATTGAGGTCCTCCCCTTCAGGTAACATCACCGCAAGGCGGAGGTTACCAGAACCGAGCGTGGCTGCTGCATGTCGCATCAAGTCATACTGATGTGTGCCTTCTGGGATATTCTTCTTAGGTTTAAATGTTTTGTTGGAACGACTCCCACTGAAATGACATGTCAGTGTTTGAACGGGGCTAATAAACCGTAGAACTATCCGTTTTAATACGATAAAACTTCGTTGGAAACGTAAACAAGACGTCAGCTCCAGAGAACGGAAATGTTTTTGATAAAAATTAAAAATAGATATCACGAAACTGACGTTACTTACAATAAAAAGCTCATGTTGAAAGTGTTCCTATAGTTATCGAATAAATAATTATTTGTTCCCACTAGAATAGCACCAATTCATTAAAACGTGTTACATTGATACAGTAAACCACATGATTCACTTGTTAAATGATAAACTAAATAAAATATTCCTGAGTTTTACTGATTTTGCTTGATCCAAATGATCCATTCCATTCCATTCCATAGAGAAATTATTAGATCTGACTGTTCTGTCACATTGACAAATTAATTTTTATTGTGTTGATTTAAATGAATGGACGGTAAATGATTTTCTATGGGTTGAATTAATGATAATTCATCTCCATAAAATAAATGATCAATTTATAAATAAACTACAAGTACTACTTCGGGGTCGAAACACTTGGGCCACGAAGTTCCAGTGCAGTCTCTGTCTATAAAGATATCGCCTGTAGGCTGACCATAGGCTGACTGATCGGCGTCGGGGATCGCGGGACAATCTCCGGCCACCGTAAGCGTGGGCCTGCGGACGGCGAGCATGGGTGGCTCCCCGTCCGACCAGAAACAGACCCGAGCGTACGGCGCGTCGCGTTCCGCGCGCTCCTCAAAGAGCCATCAGACCACCACAGATGGGGCCCAATAGGGCCGATGCCGATGCGGAGTCGCGGAGAACCTAACATGTAACCGGGGCTCCAGCTCGACGTGCAGGAGAAGGAACGGGGTGGTTTTTAGTCAGTAAGAGTCTGACACTCCCTCCCGCCTCACCCAGGCGGGTGGAGTCATACGATGATTTTCTCCCCTTAAAAAAAAAGTTACATGTATATGATAATAATAATATCAGGTCAATACATGCATATGTGCATATTACGCATCATTATTTGTCCTTGTTCTGTTAATCACTAACCTAATAATGGCGTCTCGTTCCTGTAGTCACAGTATCCATGCTGCACACATAGACAAACATTGACATGTATCCAGTTTTTCCGTGCCGCCATTGTGATAAGCTTTAATATACAACTGTATCAATCCAGTTTTATAAGAAAATGTTAGTTGCATATACCCTTAAACGTAAAAAAAATCTAGAATAAAATGAATAAAAATGTGCTTTAGTCATTGTATTCTGCCCATAGACAATAATTACCATCTATATTAAAGAGATCAATGGGTTTTGCTTCGTAGGTAGGCAGTGCTTGTCACTGAAATGTCAGATTTTTTCAGCAGTCAAGAAGATCTGCATTGAATCGATTGCTAGAGTATTATTGCGACTATTTGTGAATTTGTACCCGTTCAATACAAAGCATAAAAATGCAAGGATTATCTATTGAAAGTTTGAAGAAACACAAAGCTGTAAGTATCTCTCGCTATTTCGTTAATCGAACGGTTCTACGCGTTGCAAATACACTTCTTACATAATTAACCTCTTACCTATATTTTGTTATCGTAGGTACGTAAATGTAGGTATTAATCGTACGTAATGGGATAAGTTTAATATTTTTTTTCATCTATATATCATACAAGGGGAAATAATACATCTAAGCGACGTCCTAAATGATTCGTAAATTTTAGTGTTATCTCTATCTCATGATAAGGTGCCATTTGCAATTGATTTGTAAAATTCAAACCTAAGTGTATTAATCCTTGAATAACAACTGAATATAAAAGTACTTTAAGAAAGTATTCAGTTAATAAAAGTTCACAGTTGGGATAATAGCAGGCAGATAGCAAAATTGCATTAATATTTAAGAATATTTTTGAAAATTATTTGCTGCCAAAATTACTCTGTAGAACCAATACCCTGCAATTCAGGTGTGTCGTTTTACAATCCAACCTGGCAGATAAGTTTATATGTAGTGCTTAAAACAATATTCATTACAGTGTCAAGCAGAAAAGTTAATTATACATCTTATATAGGGCTGTACCTACTTGTTGCAAGATGGTTTTAACTATGTGTGCTATTGGAGTCATATTACATATATCCACATACTGTCGGTTAGAGCTGGCATACACAGCTTCGCCCCTACTACTGACATTTATCATAAACACAGTAGTGTATTACCATATAACCATACACACGGAATACTTTCCAAACTAACTATAAACTTGGCCCAATAGGTACCTGGTGTATATATAACAAGAAAATGTAAAGAGACAACATCACTCTGAATGGTATAAACACATGACACCAACGGATAACGCTACAAACATTATTTATTACTGCCCACTCCCATACGTTTGGCTCCTAATGATTGTAACATAGTGTTTTATAGCCTATACACTTCCTTGATAACTGTACTATCCAAGATAAAAATGATTAATCAAAGAATTGTATAAATTGATTTCTGCTACTCATTTTCATTATCGTTTCATGGTGGCTATCCCAATCACTTGCATGAATAGATACTCAAAACTCAAACTCAAAAGCATTTATTTCAATTAGACCATAATTTGGTACTTTTGAAACGTCAACAAATATGAGATATATAATAGTCTGTCAGTCTGTCCGTCAGTGAAGCTAGGCGCTCGTTCCAAAATGTCGATTCGAGTGGAGAAGAACGAGCAAGAAACTCCATTCGTTACTCTTTTTAAAAAAAGTCTGTTTTACATTGCTCTGATACATATTCCAATATTGTACACACATGTGAGAATAATGTAAAGACATACCTGACGCAACATACAAATAACAGAACATACTAAAATAGAAAAAAAAAAAAAAACCAAGAGAAAACAAATATCTTAAGTCTGACATGGTCCTCACATATGTATACTGACAATCCATATAAAATAGTGCTTCTATACAAGAAAAAAATAAAAAATATACTCTTGTTTAAATAAAGAAAGAAATGCTCGATGCCACAAGAAAAATAGATTGCCTTCATCGGAATCAAAGTGTTAAATTACCTATTATCGTAATCTGAACTAGGTACTGACTACATTTGAGTATTGTCCAGTGGAGCCGAACCAACACGCTGCCAAGCATTCCTATCCTCAAGATAATCAATCACCCTGTAGTACGCTTGTTTACATAATTCGCGCTTAATATATGTTTTAAATTTACTTTCATTTAGATCTAGTATGCTATTTGGTATTTTATTATAGCATTTAATACCTAACCCCATAAAGGATTTCTGTACCTTGGACAGTCTGAATTGCAGTACAGCTAACTTATTCTTGCCTCTAGTATTAAGATTGTGTCTATCGCTTCTTTTTTCGAACAATTGCCTATTCTTTCTTACATACATTATATTTTCATATATGTATTGACAGGGCACCGTTAAGATGTTTATCGTTTTAAACAATTCTCTTAGCGATTCGCAACGGCGTAAGTTATATATTGCTCGGATAGCCCGCTTTTGAAGAATAAAAATTGATTCTATTTCTGCAGCTCGACCCCACAACAAAATGCCGTACGACATAATGCTGTGAAAGTAACTAAAATAGACAAGCCTTGCCGTATCTACGTCCGTGAGCTGTCTAATCTGTCTAACTGCAAAAGCAGCTGAGCTTAATCTCCCCGAAAGCGCCTTTATATGTGGGCCCCATTGTAGTCTATTGTCTAATGTAATGCCTAAAAATACCGTCTCGTCGACAAATTCTAACTTTTGGCCGTTTAAAACAACATCACAATCATTACTTCGGACGTTTGGTAAACTAAATTTAATACATTTTGTTTTTTTCTCATTAAGCGCTAGATTATTAATGGTGAACCAGTTTTGCACTCGAAGAATGGAGCTGTTTACGTCGTCAAGATTATTAGCACGTCGATCTATTTTAAAAATTAATGAGGTATCATCTGCAAAAAGCACCATTCTTGGTTCATTCTTGAATATAAATGGCAAATCATTTATATAGACTAAAAAGAGAAAGGGACCCAATATTGAACCCTGTGGAACGCCCATATTCATCGTAGAGCCCTGCGAGTTAATACCATTAACATGAACCTTTAATTGCCTATCTTCTAAATAAGACTTTATTAGACAGAGTGCGGTGTTTCTGATCCCGTAGTGATCTAATTTCAGCAAAAGTGTCTCGTGGTCAACGCAATCGAACGCTTTTGAGAGGTCACAAAAGACACCAATAGCATCTTGTGCTTCCTCCCAAGCACCAAATATTTCTTTCATTAAAGTGACACCGGCGTCAGTTGTACAACGACCTTTAGTAAAACCGTATTGTTGTTGGTGAAAGATAGAATGTTTATTAAAATGATGAAGCATCCGAGACAGCATTAACTTTTCAAATACTTTGCTGAGAACCGGCAAAACAGATACTGGCCTATAATTGTTTGGTTCTTTAGTGTCACCACTTTTAAATAATGGGACAACTTTACTATATTTCATTAGGTCAGGGAAAACACCGTCATCTATACTTTTATTGAAAATCACAGCCAAGTATGGCGCTATAGTTTGAATAAGTGATTTGCAAACTTTTACCGATAGTCCCCATAGATCTTCAGTTGATTTGATCTTGATCTCTTTAAAAACTTTTATTATTTCTAGAGGATTCGTATATCGAAAACTAAAGTCGTGCTGACACGATTGTATATGATTCTTAAGCAAAGTTACAGAGAGTGTTGCTGATGACTCTAAATCTTTGGTTGTTTTGATAGGAATGTTGGCAAAAAAATGTTCAAACTCCTGGGCTACATCTACGTTGGATGAAATCTGTCCCCTTTCAGTATTTAAACTAAATTCTGAATTTCTTAATCGTTTCCTACCAGTCTCGTTGTGTATAACTTTCCAAGTAGCTTTTATCTTATCATCAGCTGCTTTTATTTTATTACTAATATAAAGACGTTTCGCGGTTCTGCATACTAATCTAAAGGTTTTTGAATATAATGTTACATACTGATGAAATTGGAGGTTGGCGTTGTATGGTTTCATTCCATAAAGCTCAAAAAGTTAAAGATAAGGAATGGAATATGTTGCTAGATTCTCTCTTTCCTGAGGGGAAGGTTGCTTAAGGGCACCGTGTTTAATTGTTTGCTTACTAACATGCGAGATAGTGGCCAAACATCAACCAATCTTTAATTAAGATAAAAAATTCAATTCAAAGCAATTGTGCCAGAAATTAGCATGTTCAACCCTTTAACAAACAAACTCTTGAGCATATATTACAATTTAGATGTATGATATAAAGTTAATGAAACTGTAAGATCACAAGATAATATTGGTCTGGACTGACTGGTGATCACATTACCATTTGACTGACAGAGTCAAATATACACTACTGTTCATAACTTTGGAAGCAGTTCTGTTTTTTAACAATACATAATTATTCTGACACTTTACGGTCAAAGTACGTCAAATACGTACATAATCAAAGTCAAAGTCAAAATCATTTATTTCAATTAGGCCAGAATGGCACTTTTGAACGTCAAAATAAAATTAATGTATAATCGTAAAACAACAAAGATAATATCGACAAGTTATTTTGACCATAAAAGGTAGTGTAGATGACAAGCCAGTATGCCACAGTCACGATAATATGGCTCACTTTAAAACGTAAATAAAGCTTAATTTCTTTTTTATGGGATAAGCCGGTTATAGGAATAATATATAATACGACGGATTAGGAATTTGATTGTTGGGGATTCAGAGGGATTGGGGACATTATGGAGGGAGGGGGAGTGTAATTGAGCCTCCAGTAACTTCACTCCCACGACGAAACACAATGCAAATGTTGTTTCACGTCGGTTTTCTGCTCGGCCGTGGTATCACTCCGGTCGAGCCGGCCCATTCGTGCCGAAGCATAGCTCCGCCACACTTAAATCGTTCTTTCATTTCGTTTACTTATTAGGTATATTCCTTGACTCATTTTTACTTCGAACTTTTTTATGGGATAAGCCAGTAAACGAGCAGACTGGTAATATGATGGTAAGCAATTGGCGCTGCTGACGATGGACGGGTGTCCATGGGCAGCAGAAACACTTGTTACCAAGTGCGTTGCGGCCTGTTTGCGTACGCTCTCCACCAAAGCGAAAATATGTGTACCTATCTACCTACATAAAAAGGAAATCTTTGCCAGACTTGACTCCAGTTGACACTTGAATCCATACAATACTGCTTGACTTCTGAATTATTGAATTCTATGCATTTTCAAGCCTCGTATCCACTAGGCAACATTTGGCGCGCGACACGTGAATCTTGTACGGCAACGCTGCACAACAGCGCGCGACGTTGCCAGCTGCCGCGCAAAATGACGCGCACGCGACGCGCGTTGTTTGTTTTAGTGCATCACTTGTTGTCGAGTGGAGACGTGGCGCACAACAATGTCCGGTTGCCAAACATTGAAGTGTAACAGCCAATCTCAGAGAAGCAATACACCAATATATATTATAATACTTCAATACACCAGTGCAAACCGCTATAAATAGGTTCCTTATGGGTCGACGTGCTCCATCGTAGACGGCATCATCGCTTAATCATCGAGGGGTTTACACGGGTCGATTTTCGCCGTGCGGCGAGTCGCTTCACTAATTGCGGCACGAAGCCGCATCGCTAGCCCATTTACACAGGTTACAAAAATCGCATGCGGCTCTGTCATTTCCGTTGAAAATGTTGAGCAGAATACCCGTTTGTGCCGGAATTGAAATAATAAGTTTTTTAATTATTCGTGCGCGAAACACCATCATGCGGCGGGCGATCGCCTGCAACTGATCGTTTACACGGTCGATTTTAGTCACCACTTCACCAGTCGCATGCGGCCGGTTGCCGCGCGGCCAAAGTCGGATGCTACCTAACTTTGGAGCTTGCGGCTTTAGTCACTTGCAACTTAGCCGAATTGCAATTTAGATGGTCGATTTACGCCGCGCGGCAAAAATCCACCACCCGTGTAAACCCTCCGTTCCACCAGGCGAGATAGTGATCAAACCTCGGCCCATCAAATATATACAAAAATCGTCGTTCTTGCAACCATCGTCATTACACTGATTTTCTTAATTATTCTTAAGTCAAAGTCAAAACATTTATTTCAAATAAACCATAATTTGGTACTTTTGAAACGTCAACAAATACAAAGTAAATAATAGTCTGTCAGTCAGTCCGTCAGTGAATCTAGATGAACTCATTCCAAAATGTAGATTCGAATGGAGAAGAACGAGCAAGAAACTCCATTCGTTACTCTTATAAAAAAAATATGTTCTACAATGTCTCTGAGACATATTCCTACACTGTACGTATATGTGAGAACAATGCAAAGTAAGCACAAATGTCAAAACTTACTAAACTAAAATAAACAAAAAAATCTTATAGTCTAACATGGTGCTCACATATGCATACTGACAATCTATGAAAATAGTGCTTCTATACAAGAAGAAGGAAACTCTTTGTTTCAATAAAGAAAGAAATGCTCGATGCCATAAGGACGATTGTATATAAGAATGAAAGTATTAAATTTCCTACTATTGGAATCTGAGTGACTACTAACTACATATTTATGAGTATAGTCCAGTGGACCCGAACTTACTTCATACAATGTATTTGTGTTTGCATATTTATGTATAATAGTATTTTATTATCTGAGTAAGTATGTAATGTTACTTAATGTAACCTGCAGCCCTCTCTGCATCATCATCACCTGAGGCATGAAATAAATAATACAACAAATGTAACGTAATTTCCAGTTGATTCCCTTGTACGTGTGTGTGGGTATTGGATGCGCGGGCGCTGTGTTCTACTTGGGCAGGCTGGCCACTCGCAACCCTGATGTGTCCTGGAACAAGAAGTCAAACCCAGAGCCCTGGGAGGAGTACAGGGCCAAGCAGTACAAGGTATATTTAGTGATGATTAAATGTTCAATGAATAAATATGGGAAGCGAGGAACAAGTATCACGCTGTGTTCGTCGTGTTTGAGTTAACTCGTCGAGTACCGGTTTTGTAGACACAATTATAGAACAACTAGCGGCCCGTCCCGGCTTCGCACGGGGGGACTTAAGATTTTTTACATAGTTTTACGTTTTATTTATATTTATTCTCAGTTTATTATGTTTGAAATACCATGCTAGCTAAGGAGGAGGCGGGACGCGTGAGGCAGCGAAGCGCTGCCTCCTCGCAACCCAGCCATCGCGAAGGACACACCGGGCGTCGGGGATCGCGGGACGATCTCCGGCCACCGTAAGCGCGGGCCTGCGGACGGCGAGCATGGGTGGCTCCCCGTCCGACCAGAAACAGACCCGAGCGTACGGCGCGTCGCGCTCCGCGCGCGCCTCAAAGAGCCATCAGACCACCACAGATGGGGCCCAATAGGGCCGATGCCGATTCGGAGTCGCGGAGAACCTAACGGGTAACCGGGGCTCCGGCTCGACGTGCAGGAGAAGGAACGGGGTGGTTTTTAGTCAGTAAGAGTCTGACAGTCCCTCCCGCCTCACCCAGGCGGGAGCAGTCATTCGATGATTTTCACCCCTTAAAAAAAAATTAAAAAGCTTTACATAATTATTTGATTCACAAATAACGACAAAATTATTCAGCAATATTATTAGATAAATTTAACTCGTCGAGTACCGGTTTTGTAGACACAATTATAGAACAATAGGTTGCGGTCACCGGTGACCGCTTGGTGTTTGACAGTTTAATAGTGGTGTATCTTTTGTTTCAGTTCTACTCGCCCATCAGAGACTACTCTAAAGAGGAGTCCCCGGCTCCCAAGTACTAGCTTAGTGCAGACAAGTTAATGTAATCAAGTATATCGCGATGTTTAGATGGTATCGTTTAATAAATAGAACAATTATGTGATAACAGTTGTTTTATTTTGGTGTTTTTATTTATAATATCCAGCAGAGGTAGGCAGAGGTGTATACATTCAAAGCAACACCCGTACAGACAGAATGCGTGCATTTATGTCGGCGAGGATTTACGGATGCAGCTGGCTGAAGCTTTGGTTTTGTCGACATTAAATTATATACTATATAATGGATATATATTATTATAATACTCTTTCTTTGACTCTTATCACAAACAAAGGCTGATTCAACGGGTTCAAAACGCATGTGCCCGTTTTTGCTTGAATATACCACCGAGGGGACACGTTACACCTTACCTAAACAAACACAACCTCCTAAAAATGAAGTCACGTTGCAAGCTCCACTTAGCTTGACTTCTTTCTGGCGTCATCAAAATTAAGTATCCCTTGAACTTGCACTCAAAATTATCCTCACCTAAAGCGGGAGGCTAGGCAGTGTGCACAGCATCTAGCTGTACCTCAACACAAAACAATTGCATTTCGAGGCAGTTTTCGGTACGCAGCGTCCAAATGTTGAAATAAAATACCTATCCTCCATCTATCACCGGAGGTTATACGCCGGGGTCGTGCGGTCCATGGCCCTCCACGGCGCCCCTGTTTGGGCGCCAAACCTGTTGCGGCGTCCCGCTCGGACGCTGCTCATGGCACAGAGGGTCATGGCGATCCGAATGATCCGCGGATACCGCACGTTCTCTGGGGAGTCGGCGAACCTCCTTGCCGGATTACCGCCGTGGGATCTCGCGCGGAGGCATGTCGCGGGGGTGAAACTCCGTTGTCGCGCCAGATAAGTGCGTGGCGGGATGAGCTCCGGCGCGATCTCATGGCGGAATGGCAGCAACGACTGTCGCAACCGAGGGCTGGGCTCGCTGCCATCGCAGCGGTAAGTCCCCTCTTTGAGGAGTGGCTTGAGAGACGCTACGGCGTCCTCACCTACCGCCTGACGCAGGTCCTCACCGGACATGG